AACAAGGAGATTCTAAAGAAGATCGTGGCGAAGGAGAATGAGTCGAAGGGAACGTCGAAAGACCTGGCTCACTTCTCAAGGAACGACTCGCACGCGAAACCTACTGTGGTCATACCAGACCACGTCAACGGCTCCGAGGTAGCCTTGGGTACGGATGCTACGGACGCTGAAGAAGCCTCTCTGGAACCGCCCGCCGCCTCTCCATCGGTGCTCTCGCCTTCACCGGCAGAGGAGGAAGAGATCGACCTCGTGGAGCAGCTCTATGGGAACGAGAGCTCACTCCGCGCCAACGAGATTGACATCTCCGATTCTATAGTTCTCCCTCCCCCGCCAAAGAACAAGGAGCTGGACATGGTGACCTGGTCTCGGACATCATCCAACCCTGACACACCCTTCCTCGACAAGCACGACCCCTTCACCGCACCGCATACCCCATCCCTCAGCCTGAGTATACCCCCATCCACCGCCCGGCCTCCCATCAGTGACCCAAATACCCCCTTGCGCCAGCAAAGCCAAGGCGCAGTCCAAACGGCGCGCGTACTCTCCTTGGACGAGTATTCCGAGCGGATGCGCACGGCTGCAGTGATGCTCGCCCAGCTCAACGCGAGCCTCGTACGGGAACCAGTCACCGCCGTCACAGCCCCCGGGATGCCCCCACCCCCTCCCGAGACATCCATGCTCGGCGCGCCCCTCCGCTGGCTCCCCGGCTCAAGCTGGCTGACGGGCGGCCCCGCGGGCAGCAGCGCACCGTCGCCCGCGCCGGGCACGCCAGCGGAGGGCGCCGCGGCGCCGACCCCGATGCGCATGAAGCTGCAGCCGTCCGAGGCGGCGGCGATCCGGGACCGGATCATGGAGGAGATGCTGGCGCTGGAGGAGGAGCGCATGGCGCGGATGCGCGAGAACGGCGTGAACGAGAGCTCGTTGCGGATCAGCAGCGCGAACGGGGACATGAAGACAGCGGAGGACGAGGGTATCATTCGGCGCGAGCTGAGCAAGGCGGACCCGTCTGCGGTCGTGTTCAGCGAGTCGTGGGCCGCGAAGAAGGTCGGTGATGGTGTATCGGCCGTCTGCTTCTGTAACTCATATTTGTGCCCTATAAGGCTCGAGTACGTCAAGCATCACCGTACGGGCATCTCGGTTAGTTCGTTGGCTTGCATATCCGGAGAACGCGCGCTCATATACACCGTAGCCAATTGGGACTGCGTCTCCGTCATTGTCAAGACTGGCGGCGACCTCCGGCAAGAACAGCTTGCGGTACAACTCATACAAGAGTTTGAGAAGATCTGGAAGGAGGAGAACTGCCAGTGTTGGGTACGATAGTAAGCAACATCTCGTCGGCTCCACTTCTTCAGTCATTGACCCTCATCCACACCCTAGTTTCCGCATACTGATCACAGGCAACTCCTCCGGCTTGGTCGAGACGATCACCGACGCGGTCTCAATACACTCGATCAAGAAGGCGGAGTACGCACGCAGGCTAGCAGAAGGCCGGTTCGGGCACGTCACCCTGCTCGACCACTTCAAGACGGTAAGCCTTCCTCCCCCAAACCCCGTCCGACCATCCGTCCACCCGCTCATCCCCACACGCCGGCGCAGACTTACGGCGACCCATCCTCCGCCAAGTTCGCGCGCGCGCAGCGCAACTTCGCAAAGTCGCTCGCGGGGTACTCGCTCGTGACGTACCTGCTGCAGATCAAGGACCGGCACAACGGCAACATCCTCCTCGACCGCGACGGGCACCTCATCCACATCGACTTCGGCTTCATGCTCGCGAACTCGCCGGGGAACATCGGCTTCGAGGCCGCGCCGTTCAAGCTCCCGCTCGAGTACCTCGAGGTCCTCGGCGGCCTCGACGGGCCCGCCTATCGCGAGTTCCGCAAGCTCTTCCGCGAGGGCTTCGAGGCCGCGCGCAAGCACTGCGACCGCATCGTCAGTGAGTAGCTAGCGACTTTTGCCTCCGAGTGTTCTCGTGCGATATTGGAGGGCGGGTTTGGCTGACTGCCGCTTTCACTCTGCAGCGTTGGTGGAGCTGATGCAGAAGGACTCGTCATTACCGTGCTTCGCCGCGTTCGGCGAGCAGACGGCGGCGCAGCTGCGGGACCGGTTCCAGCAGGGCCTCACGCAAGCAGCGGTGGAGGAGCACGTCCAGCGGCTGATCGACGCATCCCTCGGGTCGAATTGGACGAGGCTATACGACTCCGTGAGTGGTTTGCACAACACCACGTTCAGCGTCGCGCGGCGGTCTTTACTGACACACGGCGTATGAATTGCAGTTCCAATATTACTCGCAGTCCATCCTATAACAAGACGCGGGACGCAACCCCGGTGAATTTATATGCGTACCCATGCGATCTGTCACGCCGTGGGCCCAACGCGATCAGGGCCACACAGGCTCGGGGTACACTCTCCGGCTGTACGCTATCGTCGACTGAACCGCAGCGATGTATCGACACGGGCCTGCTGGGGCCTAGTACATGGAGCGTGCGGAGCGATAGCAGAGCAGATAAATACGGTAGAGCGGGCGGAGGATATACAAGAATCGCAGGCCGGAGCAACTCAGGCGAACAGCGCGTCGTAGCGCTTGAGGCAACTGTACCACTCGTAATCTGTAGTAATAGCGTAATGTCAGCCTCCCGGACGGAATGCGGAACGAACGAGGCCGCTGCACAGCCCGAGGACTGGGCATCGACGACGTGCGTGGGAGGGCTTACCGAAGTTCTCCTGTGGGTTGCACCAGCACTTGCCCTTCTTGTGCAGCTCGCCCTGGGGACAGTGTTGGAAGGGGTTGTGGCGGTACCCTGTGCAGAATGGCGATCAGTGATCTGCCAAGTAGCAGTCAGACAGGTGGTGGAAAGACATACCGATCTCGTTGAAGAAGTGGATCTGATCCTTCTTCGCGAAGAGAGCAGCGCCGATGCTGTGTACTGGCGCGTCTCCCCAACGCTGCACGGGGAAAAATTAGACTCATCGTATACACGACGATTCGGCCGCTTACCTCGTAGTAGAAACCGCCTTTCTTATCGAGGAAGTCAAAGAACTTCGAGTATGCCTCCCCGCGCCAGAAGTCGAGGTCACCGATTTCGAAGTTGCTCCAGACTGAGTGAGAGATGGGTCAGCAGAGGTTGTCGGAGGCTCCACTGCAGTACGTACAGTGGCAGTTGTTGTAGCTCTTGCCACCGTCATCGGAGATGAAGCTCATGGCGTTGTCGGGCGAGACGGCATCAGGGTTCTCCTCGATGAACTCTGAAGCATGCATTGAGCTGATGGTGCCCACGGCACTTTCGGTAAACGCACCTTTGACTGCATCCCAGAGGGTGGGAATAGTTGCCGGGTACTCGTAGAGGGACACAGTGAAACCTGAACCAGTCTTATAAGCTCCCAGGAATGCATGCTTTCGTAGGCAGGCGGCATACCGTAGACCTTCTTGTTGTCCTGCATGAAGAGCAGGGGCTGAGGGGAGTACTGTGTAAGCATAGGACATGTATCAGCGCTCCATGCTTACGTACATCGTAGTGCAGGTCGCAGAAGAAGTTGACATCGGGTCTGAACCATGGTCGGTCAATGCTGGAGGAGTTCAAAGTAGTCACGGAGACTCACTCTACACGCCAGTAGTACTTGTACTTGGCGAGCAGCTCATGTCTGTAGAAGAACTATAGGTGCATTAGCGCGAGTTTCCGCCGTATTGACGGGTTCCTACTCACCCCAGAGTTGAAGCGGCACATGTTGCGGTAGGGTACGCTGCCGCCGTAGATGACATTCTTCTCCACCATCTCTTTACGGGCGGCGCTAGCCTTCTCCTCATCTATCCAAGAAGGCTGGTACCAATCCTCCTTTGGGATCAATCCAAACTCGATCTTGGAGTCGGTCAATGTTTGCACACGGCTAGCGGTAGTCGATCAGTACGGGCTACGTGACCGGCGCATGGGGCAAGCGTACTCCTTGAACTCGTCCGAGAAAGGCTCCTCGTTCAGGAAGACGTAGGGGTACTGGAACTCCTTGTTGAACCGGTCCTCTGCGGATTGCGTGAGACGGCGTCGTATGAAGGAATCAGCTGGGGGGTCCGCACCAACTTGCTTCATGCTCATGACCACGCCGTTCAGGTCGTTGTTACGCGCGAGGAAGACGAAGGTTGCGTTCGCCCTCCTGCCCTTGGGTGAGGGAATAGGCTGAGTGGTGTAATAGTCTTCTGGGACGCCGTCTTGGTACGGCGGGTGCGGCTTCGCGCCCCCAAACTTCTCTGTAATGTGGGAAAGAGAGGTAGCGCGACCATACTCCTCATGGGAGAAGCTGAGCAGGAAGTGCAAGCTGATCTACGTAGCCGGGGTCTCAGCGTCCAGGACAGTGGGCTGCCACAGGCTGGAGGATGCTCACAATGATGGCCAGCACCAATACCACATAACGCATGGGCGTCATCATCTTGAGTGACGGTGTCTAGCCTGCGAGAGGCCGCGTTAGGGAGAGTGGGGTGCTGGTGGAGGAAAGGAGGGAGCGGAGGGGAGGAAGGAGAGAAGAGATGTGGAGGAGAGCGATGTCCGGACGCGACGCCGCAGCAGGCTGCACGCTCTGGACGGGCGCCTGTCCTTCCTCCACATCATCACGATCATCCTCTGCGCGGCAGCCACGGCCAAGGCCCAAGGATACAGTAGCTATGCATGCAGCATCTACCAAGCATTCGAGACACCGACTCTGCATTCTCATTTGTGCCGCTGCCGCCCGAGTATTTCAACGGTGAGTCAAGCACTCACATCCCTCGATGAGGCTCATTCCAGGCTTGTTTGCATCCTCGCACGCTACGCCACAACGTTCATCCACATCTTCGGCGCAGTACTGTGCACAGGTATCGCACGCACACTGGCTGAACGCACGGTAATTACAATAAAGCTAGCTAGAAGAGAAGGGGATGTCAACACAATCCACTGGCACTTCCACCGCTCTCAAGTACTGGCCACTCGATGGAATATCATTCTTCATCCTATCCAACACCGGAAGGGAGCAAAAAGTGGTTCGACCCGGGTTCGAACCGGAGACCTCCTGTGAACCCACTCGCTTATACCCAAGCGGACAGTGTGAGACAGACGTGATAACCAACTACACCATCGAACCGTGCTACTCAAAATGAGTGTCCCGTCTTGGACGCTTCCCAGTCTATGCATCAGGACAGTCTTCCCTGAGGGTGCGCCTTCGAATTCACGCAGTATCCGGCCATAGCTGTGAAACAATCGGGTCGATTACACTACGAGATACAATACATCCTGCACTAACGAAGAGACTAGCGACGAGATAGAGATACATTTACATAGCAGGTGCATGCATAGATAACACGGCGACTCTATGCCCAAAGATTATGCGGAGATTCCAATAACGAAGGTTCCGTCCGTCCGTTTCACCAGCAACCGACGCATCTACCCGGCCCTCCTCCGTTCCTTCTCCTGGTCCGTATAGGGGCGCACTCTACGCCGTAGCCTGTCTCACAGGAGTTGGGGCCGGCGCCGCCGAGGCCGCCTGCATGGCGGCCATGTTCGCCCGCAGCGACCTCTGCACAGGGGTGCGGTCCTCGTGCACGTCCTCGTTCACCTCGAAGGTCACCCCTGGCCGCCGCCGGCGCACCGTGCCCCGCACTTGCTGCTCATACTCCTCCCGGTTGCGCCACTCCTGCGCGGCCGTCATCGGGTCACGGAGAGGGGGAGAGGGTCGGCCAGCAGTCGAGCTCCTCGTCGAGTCTCCGCCGGTCAGCATTGCGTTGATCTATTACCCGTACTATGAGTGACCGTTCGGAACGTATGATGGCAGGGAGGCCAACTTACCACAGTGCCGTCCACAGCATCCACCGACGCGGTGGAGACCGTATGGTGCCGCCTGGAGAGCAGGCGGAAGGGAGTGAACATCTTCCCGTTCGGACTGCGCCTCCCGGCCGCATGCACCGGCGTCGGCGCAGCAAGAGGCACCTGGCCCGCACTGTTCTCCCGCCTGGCCTGCGGCGGCGCAGGGATCGACACCGCCGCCACGGCGACTTGTGGTGCGGTGGGAGCCCCCGTCACGGGCTTAACAGGTACATGGGCCGCTTGCATCTGCGGTGCGGGCTGGGTAGGCTGGGAGACGTTCCGCTGGCGCTTCTCTCGGACGGCGGCAGACGGAGGGGGCTCGGCGGCGTCCCGCGGCTTTGGGGGCGAGGAACGTGAGCGGAAGAGGCTCAGGCCGCGCCCGAGGAGGCCCTTCTTCTTCTGGTCCTTGTCCTTTGTCGACGCCTTGGACGTCGTGCGCTCCAACGGTACGGTGGGCGAGACCTGGGGCAGCATCGACGGAGCTAGGGACGAAGGCGTGAGGAGCACCTCCGGGGTTTGCAGCGTGGTGTTCCTCGACGAGTTCTGGCCCCTCGTGGGCAAGCTCGCCGAAGCATACGCGGGGTTACCGCCTTTGCCCGGATACTGAGGGTCAGAAATAGTGCGCGTGTGGGCAGACGGGAACGAAGCCGCGGCAGCAGGGTGTCCGGGAGCCGGCGCCGGGTAGGTCTGATGACGAGTGGGTTGCGGGGGCGCCGAGTGTAGCGCGGGAGCCTTGCCAGAGGGGGACGACACCGCTGGGGTTCGCTGGGGTCGGACGGTAGGTGCGGGCGAAGGCGCTGTGCGGGGCGGGGCGCGTTGAGTAGGTATCGGCATGGTAGTGGAAGTTGGGGGTGCCGAGTGAGGCGGCTCCTGAGATCGGTAGCCGTAGTCGGTGGGCGCAGCCCCGCGGGTATAGCCTTGAGTGGCGGTTTGGCTAGCCGTAGCCCGTCCGTGTTGATAGTCGTAAGAAGTCGTGGGCGTCTGTACGCTGTATGCTTGTTGTTGGTAGTTGGCTGAGGTTCCATTAGGAGGTTGGACGGCCGGGTATCCAGGTGGGGCAGGGGTGCGGTATCTAGTCGTAGGCTCGGGGTATCCAGACGAAGCGTTAGGCTGGCGGTAAACAGAGGCGTTATCGGGTCGTGACGCGGCATGACTTTGGAGGTTGATTACACTGTTGCGATGCGGAAGTTGTTGGTGTGAGCCACTGCTAGGGGATGGTTTCGTCTGAGTGGTATGAGCGATCGTGTCGTTCGAGCCATTGCGATGTGAGTGCAGACGACCTGAAGGCGAGTGCTTCGGTGTACCGGCTGCGGAGCCAACCGATACCGCGTGGCCAACCGCAGGAGACCGACCCGGATCAGCGAGATACTGTCTAGAGGGAGAGTAACCTGAGGCAGATCCCGTCGCATACCCATACCCAGCATCTGCAGCAAGCTGCGCCGCCGTCTGGTCGTAACGAGGAGAGGGTTGGTGCTGGACGCTCTGACCCGATGGCTCCCTCCCATGGGCAGCGTGGGCCTGGGACCGGGAACCTGCCGCCTCAGGCGTGATTGTGGCCATGGAGGGAGGTTTTGGCGATCGTCCGTCATGCACCGGAGCCCCGTGGTAGTTGGAAGGGTTAACGTGAACGGCAGGCGCTGGCGCCGGCGCCGAAGCGCCTGGATATGTCAAGTTGCGCTTCGGAGACGCGGACGGATACGCTGCAGCAGCAGGGGCCGCGGACCGCGAGGGCGCGGTCGGGGTCGGGGGGTTGTACGTATGTTGGCTGCCATAGCCCGCCGGCCCACCAACACCTGCCGTATCTTCATAGACGGGGAACCTTGGAGATGGGTCTTGTGAAGTTCCTCTTGTGTGTGCGGACGCTTGTGGAGCAGGGCTGGTGATGCGGTGGATGTCCGAGACACCGTATTGTTGGGAAGAACTGGCGCCAGCGGGTGCGGAGCGATACAAGTCCGTTTCGGGGTGTTGCGCGGAGAGATGCTGGTGTGAATGTGACGCTGGCTGGGCAGCCACCGCGTTCGCGTGTGAATGGCCCATAGCGTGTTGGGGTGCCGGGGTGGAACGCGCCCGGGAGTCGTGTGATGGAACCTGCAAACGTTGTCCAGCGACTGTATCAGGCTGGTGGACAGAACCACCCACAGTTGTGCGTGAAGAGTACGGATCGTGGTGTGTGGGAGCAGCTGACGGAGGCCGCACCACGACGTCGGGAAGTACAGCCTGGTGACTCGCATGGGCTAGTGCAGGAGTCACCCCGCTGGAGTCCGCGTGTCTTGTGTGTGGGTGCTGGGCTGGAGGTGGCTGCTGATACGAGCTGGTGACGCCAGCGTTGACAGAGGAATGTTGATATGTCCTAGAAGCATCCGGGTAGGCGGAGGAGTACGGCTGCGCGGAGGCCGTCTGCGGCATGGCATCCTGAGTTCGCCCTGCCGAGGGCTGGTAGTACTGTGCCGCCGGCTGGGCACGGGAACTGGAGTCGTAGGTGCGATCCACCGTCTGGGGATTTCCCTGACGATGGATAGACGTCGCACTGTGATTCTTGGGCAGCAAAGTACCTGCGTGCGGCTCGGACGGACCCTGCCCAGCGCGAATGCTGACTATTTGAGGCGTAGGACGTTGAGATGTAGTCAGACCTACGTGGGAGGTAGGCTTGCCTGGGTGAGGCGCACCGGAATGAACGGTAGCGTCATGAGGCACCGCGGTTGACGGACGTTGCGGGGAATCTCCCTGCGCTGCGGACTGCTTCGTCCCGGAGACGTCTCGCGTATGCTGTAGTCCATGAGCAAATCAAGATGATGCATCGGTTATGAGGTATTCACCTGCTGGTACCAGGCCTGAGCAATCTCCTGGCTGGTAGTAGGACCGGTCGATTGCTGACCCTCCACGGGAGTCGACCTCGATCTGTGACGCGACGACTCCTTGTGCTTACGCTGCGAAGCAACTATGAAGTGACGCGCAGATATGTGAGCAGGCAAATAACTTACGCGCTCCTTCTGGAAAGTCGGACCTCGCTCGTTCTCGCTTCCAGAAGGTCCAGAAGACTGGCCACGACCCAGAGTGCTCGCCTGTTCCCTACTGACGTGACGCCTCTCCGCTAATCTAGCCTGGAGGAAATGTCGAGTCAATTTACAGCCTTTAGGGGGTGGGTAATCTGATGTGCTCACCCTCTCGACCCCAGATTGCTCCGGTTCGCTGCTGGAGATACCAGAGTCCTGAGCAGCTTGCTGGGCCAAGACATGGTGACGTTGGGAACGATGAGCTTTCGAGGAGGACCTCTCGCGTCGGTGGCCTGGAGGCGGGATAGGAAGTGGTGGGTCCTCCCTATCCGAAGCGGAAGGATAGCCAGCATCGGGCGGAGGGACAGACGTCTGGCTCGGAGCTCTTCTCCCACCAGCAGCAAGCCCCGTCCATGGGAGAGCGGTTGGTGCTGGAGGTGCAACCTGAGATACCTGCGGTTGCTGCGCGCGCCCATAGTCCTATACGATGTCAGGCTATCGCGAGCTCTGAGCGAATGGAGATCGCGTACCTGATACCCTGCTGGTAGCCTGTCGTCAGATCTCCGCGCAGGGGCGGATGCTTGAGCGTATGCCTGTTGCAAGCTGGCCGTATCCGGTGCTCGACGGTCGGCTTGCGCATCGCGATGCTTCGACCTCTCTTTCTCCTTGTGCCGGTCTCGGTCCTTGGATGACCGCTCCTTGTCCCTCCCCGCTTCCTTCTCCTTACGCCTACGCCTCTCTCGCTCCTCGTTTCTCTCAGCAGCGTAGTCTCGCATGCTCAATTTCTCGACGTCGCGCCGGCTTGACTTGTCTCTATCCTTCTCTCGGTCGCGGTGGTGCCGTGACGAAGAGGTGGGATCGCGAGTGGTTTGATCAGGAGCGGCGGCGTAGTAGCTCGTGGATGCGGGCGGTTGAGCATATGTAGCTGCGGTCGCGTAATCGTGACGAGAGGGATATGCCGAGCGGGACGTCTGTGCGGCCTCAGTAGTAGGAACCTTGTCTTTCGAAGTGCGAGGGCTACGCTTGTCGGTCTTCTTCTTGAGGTACGCACGGAGAGCCTCGACATACACCGCTTCGTGTGCCCGCGAGGTCGTTGATGAATGCTGTTGTTGCGGAACGGTGTAGTACGACTGGTGGACGGTAGACGACCTGTCCTTGCTGGAAGACTTGTGATGAGAGTGCGCCGCCGCAGGGTCTAGGGGATCGGTCCGTCGAGAGCTGCGGTGCTTCCGCGAGCTCTCCGGTGCTGCACCCTGGTCCACGTTGTGGCGCTGGCTGGTGGCCATTG